GAGAGAGAGAGAGAGAGAGAGAGAGAGAGAGAGAGAGAGCCAGCCAGATTTTTTCCAGCCATAACATAAATAAAAAAAAAAAAAAAAAAATTTTCCAAAAAAAAAGTCAAATTTGATGTTTTTGACAGTGTCTTGTGGTCACCAAGGATACATTTTTTTGATCAAAAATACAGTAAAACATTTATATTCTAAAAAATATTTTTACAATTTAAAATAACTGTTTTATATATATATATATATATATATATAAAAATCAATTAAGCAAAATTTACTTAGTGGAATTTACCACTTTTTTTATATCTAATCTCTCCTGGTCTCTCTGTACGGTGGAGGTTTTGAACGTCTTTCTCTGGATGGCGTTGTAATGACTCATTATCGCTATGGATACTGCAATAACTGACCTCTCTTCTCGTCGTAATTACCAGCCTTTTCATAAAGCTAAAATGTCAATTATGGCCACGACCAAGCCTCCTCCGAGCCCTCGCTCTCATTTTCTATCTCTCGGTTTTTTCTTTTCTCTCCAATAAAGGAGTGTTTTCTCCCGAGAGGAATGTGCTCTTGTGCTAAATATTTATGTGGTAAATACTTGAGGAGATGAATTTCAAGAGACCCAAGCCCACATGAAGACCCATTAACCCTCTCTGAATGTGATGAAATGATTGTATAATTGAGAATATGATAATTAATCTCTGTCAAAGCTGAGCAATCGTGAGATATGAAACATCACAGTGCCAGCCGGCATCAGCTTTACATTAGAGAGGCTTGCCTTCCCTGCACCTCAATTTACTGCAGATTGTTATTTTTCAAATCAATTTATCTGTTTGTGGTGGATTTCAGCTGTTCAAGTATTGCATCCAACATTTTAATAATACGAAAGGACAGGGGTGAAAAGTTTCCAAAAAATTTATTTGGGAAAGTTTCAGATGTATTTAAAACTCCAGATAAATTAGGGCTGTTGAGTGCTTCCATTTTTTTCTTCCATCTTTTGCTTTACCTGATGAATAAAGGAGTGTTTTCTCCCGAGAGGAATGTGCTCTTGTGCTAAATATTTATGTGGTAAATACTTGAGGAGATGAATTTCAAGAGACCCAAGCCCACATGAAGACCCATTAACCCTCTCTGAATGTGATGAAATGATTGTATAATTGAGAATATGATAATTAATCTCTGTCAAAGCCGAGCAATCGTGAGATATGAAACATCACAGTGCCAGCCGGCATCAGCTTTACATTAGAGAGGCTTGCCTTCCCTGCACCTCAATTTATTGCAGATTAATGACAAATTAACCACACATCAATTTTTGCCTGAGAAATTACCCCTGAAATATTATGTGAAGTCATTATTGTCTTAGATGAGAAAATAAGTGAACAGACATTGCAATAGTAGCTTTAGAAATAAATATTTTGAGACAGCATTGTATAAATGATATTAAGTGTATAAAGATTAAAGATTTTTTAAATGAATATTCAAATATTACAATGAAATGATACGGATCAACATGAAACTAAATCCGCCAGTAGGTGACAGCAAGTCATTGAGTCATTCATTCAGCCGATTATATTCAAATGAAGCAAGTGACTGTGAAGAATGGGACTCAGAATCACTGGCTTCGTTAACATCTGTGGATTCATTCAGCAAAAAACACTGTTTTAATTAGTTATTTTTCCATAGTTAATTGTGCCAAATGAACACATTAAATCGACAGTCCTAACACAAATATATTATAATTAGAGCTGTCGATTTAACATGTTATTTTCTTTCTGATTATTTATTTAAGGAAAAAAATATGTATTATGATTATGTGAAGTCATTATTGTCTTAGATGAGAAAATAAGTGAACAGACATTGCAATAGTAGCTTTAGAAATAAATATTTTGAGACAGCATTGTATAAATGATATTAAGTGTATAAAGATTAAAGATATTTTAAATGAATATTCAAATATTACAATGAAATGATACGATCAACATGAAACTAAATCCGCCAGTAGGTGACAGCAAGTCATTGAGTCATTCATTCAGCCGATTATATTCAAATGAAGCAAGTGACTGTGAAGAATGGGACTCAGAATCACTGGCTTCGTTAACATCTGTGGATTCATTCAGCAAAAAACACTGTTTTAATTAGTTATTTTTCCATAGTTAATTGTGCCAAATGAACACATTAAATCGACAGTCCTAACACAAATATATTATAATTAGAGCTGTCGATTTAACATGTTATTTTCTTTCTTTCTTTCTGATTATTTATTTAAGGAAAAAAATATGTATTATGATATAGTTAAGCAATATCACGAACAACGAGTGCTGTTTTCATTACGAACAGCATGGGTGCAAACGTGATATTGATTTTATACATAAAATAAACATTCAAAATTCTTTCAAAATTATAGGCCTATATATATATATATATATATATATATATATAT